TGGCCTCCTGTGACTGACTGGGAATCCGGGAATGAGTGTTCTGGAAAACGTCCTCCCCCTGGAGCAAGACCACATCAGTCAGTCTGCTGGCATGCTCTCCCCCCATTTAGCATTGTGAAGCCCGGGCCTCCCACTGCGGCCTCCCTCCTGCCGGGCCAACTAAACGTGCTGTGAAATGGCCTCCGCCCCTGCCTGGTCTCTGTCTGCCACGGGGTGAAGGGCAGGAAACTCGGGAGCACAGTGGTTCTCCACTGGGGCGGTTTTGCACCCCATGAGGCATTTGGAGACATGTTTGATTGCTTTGATTGGGGGGATATGCTACTGGCACCCAGTGGGTAGAGACCAGCGATGCTGCTCAACATCCTGACGTGCCCAGGAGAGTCCTCCACAACGAGGAATTATCCAGCCCAAATGTCCAAAGCATGTGGTTGAGAAACCCTGGTGTTTGGTCCCTTGGTTGTCAGGAGTTTTGGTTTGGGAGATGGGAGGTGGGACATGAAAAGAGAGGGCTAGCCCTAGCCGGTTTGGCTCTGTGGGTAGAGCGTCATCGGCCTGCGGACTGAAGGGTCCCAGGTTCGATTCCAGTCAAGGGCACATGCTAAGGTTGCAGGCTCTATCCCCAGTAGGGGACATGCAGGAGGTAGCCAAGCAATGATTCTCTCTCATCATTGATGTTTCTCTCTCTCTCTCTCTCTCCCTCTCTGAAATCAATAAAAATATTTAGGGAAAAAAAAAGAAAGAAAAGGAAAGAGAGGCCTGTCACCAAGCACAGGGCCTAGGCCTGGAAGGGGTCCCAGCCCTCACTGACCTCAGTGGTTTTCAAATCGGATACTTGGAGGCTCCAGGGTCAAGGTTCTCAACCAGCTGCACATCAGAGTCACCTGAGAAGCTTTAGAAACTACCCATGCTGGGCCTCATCTCCAGAGATTCTGAACTCAGTGGTCTCATATGGGGCCTGGGTTCATCTAACTTACAGCCAGGGTTGGGAGCACTGTTTTGGGGGTACCCAAGAAGGTCCTGGGATGGGGAGAAGAATGCCTACCCCTTCCAGGAGAGTACCACCCATGTTGTTTCACATGTTCTAGTCCAATCCCGTCATTTTACACACACGAAGAATGAGACCCAGAGACTTACAGCAAGATTATACAACTTGCCCAAGATCACGCAACAACTCGTTCATCCATTCATTTGACAAATACTTAGTGAGTGCCCACCAGGTGGCAGGCAGCGTCACTTCCCCAGCTGGGATGGGAAGCCGCAGTCCTAGCTGCCCAGGGACCACCGCTCTCCTCTGGTCTGCAGTAGCTGCCTCATTCCCTCCTGAGCTGTGCCATTGTTCCCAGGCTCAGCATTTCGGAGTTGTCCTTGTTTTCACACCCAGCATGCAGTGGGTCAACCACTTCTGCCCATTCATGAAGGACCTCTACCCCGTCTGTCCCCTCCTCCCGCCCCATGGCACCCGGCCCGTTCTAGACCCCTCTCACTGTGGATTTGTCTCCAAGCTATGCCATCTGACTTTGCCCGCTCCCCTCAAATACTTGGTACCCTCAGTACAAAGGCCACACTGGTCTTAAAACTCCACATGCTCACAACCTTCGGTCCAATATCAAATGATGGTTAAGAACTTGGGCTTTGTCTCAGAGGGAAGGCAGGGGAGGGTGGGTGGATGGGAAGTAATCAACCAAGAACCCTGTATGCATATACACAAGGCCCATGGTCACAGACAACGGGGCCCTGAGGGCCCGGGGTGGGCGGTGGAAGTGGGCTGGAGGGGGTCAATGGGAGAAAAGGGGGACATATGTAATACTTTCGACAATAAAGAATTATTTTTTAAAAAAACAAAAGAACTTGGGCTTTGGAATTGAGCTTCAGATCCTGACTTTGTCTCTTAGTGGACCTTAGGCAAGTTATCTAACTTCTCGGTTCCTGTTTCTTTATATTTTAAATGCAGATCAGGTATTTCATTGATTCTATGGCCTTATTTTTCCTGTCTACATTTTAACATCTCTGAAGAGTCCATCTTAAATTGAAGACACATAATGGTATATATATTACGACTGGTGATTTCTTAAATTCCATGAAATGCAGCAGTATTCACCTTATAGGATTACTGTGAGGTCCAAATAAGTTCGTATCAAATACTTGGAACTGTACCCAGCATGTAAGGAGCCCTCATTAATCATTAGCCATTATAATATCTTAGTTAAAACCTTCCCTAGCTCTTCCTTGCCTACAGACTATAGACTTGTGCCTGGCTGACATGGCTCGTGGTTGGGCATCAATCTATGAACCAGGGGGTCACGGTTCAATTCCCGGTCAGGGCACATGCCCAGGTTGCGGACTCGGTCCCCAGTGTGGGGTGTGCAGGAGGCAGCCGATCAATGGTTGTCTCTCATCACTGATGTTTCTATATCTCTATCCCTCTCCCTTCCTGTCTCTCTAAAAATCAATAAAAACATTTTAAAAAAAGAAAAAAAGAAGAAGATAGACTTGGCCCTTGACCCTGGCGTTCAAGGCTCTCCATCAGCAACCAGCTCCCCTGTCTCATTTGGTCCTCAGGGCAGACCTGTCCAAACACATATCAAACTGGAATCTCCACTCGGATGCCTCACAGGCATCTCATACTCCACATGCCCAAACTCACCTTCCTCCTGACCCCACCCACCCGCCTCTTGTGATCTCTCCCAGGCCTAATGGCAGTGCCGGCACATCATGGGCATCCGCTGCCATTCATGTCACTTGCCTACTTCTCACCAGTAGTGATTTGCCTTTGTCATGCTTCTTGGAACCTGACCCCAACATGTCCCTGGTGCCTTACCTCTCAGCTCTGTCCACCCCACAGCCACTCTGAATCACTCATCGTTGGCCAAACCCTGTGTTCTCATGTTGCCTTACCTTTGCCTGGGCTTGTTCCTATCCCTGGGATACCCTTCTCCTTGGGCTCAGACATCGCTTTTCCTGGGAAACCTTCTCTGAGCCCCTGAGGCAGGGGATTGTCTCTTATGGGGCACCTGTTACATCAGGTGGTGGTGTTTCTTTACACGTCCCAGCTCTACACCACGCCTTACCCTATGAAGCCACTGCTTAAAGCTTTATGTTTTTGTTTCCCCAGTGCCTGGCACCTGGTAGATTCTAGGCAGCACCCTGACAACTCCAGCCCTTTCTCTGAACCCTGGTGACATGCCCTGCCCATGGAAGCTCTTGCTGAGCACGTAGCACAGGAGGCTGGTAGAGTCTGTGTTTCTTTTCTGAGCACATAAGGCCAACTCACCGGAGTGTGGTTTTCTGAGCCCCTCACCATACATGGGAGGCTGCTACAGCAGTTTTAAATAATGGCCCCCATGTTCTCTCGCATGCCTCCCATACAGAGGTAGGACTTATGTCTCCTACCCTTGAACCTGGGCTTCTTGACTGGCAAAAGTGATGCTGGGTCGCTTTCTGGTCTCAAGCCTTAAGAAATTGGCACCTTCTGCCCTCTGCCTCTTGGGACTCTCGCTCTGGAACAGAGTCACGATGCTATGAGGATTCCTGGCCTACATGAAGAGTCCACGTGGGAGAGGTCAGCCAAAATCCAGCATCTACCGCCAGACATAGTAGTGATAATACAGCCCCCAGCTGTCAAGTCACCCCCAGACTTTCAGTTTTTTCCAACTGAGACCCAAGACAGAGTGGAGCAGAGATATAAACCATCCCGAGTGTTCTGCAGGAATCCCAGATGCTCAAAATCCAGGAGAATAATGATTTTCTTTTTTTTTTTTTGGCAGCTAGGTATTATTACTCAACAATAGATAACTAGAACAGTGGGGCAGAAAAAGGAGCTTAGAGCTTGGCGCTGAAGGCCCTCGATATGTAGACCCTTCTCCACAGAGGGCCTGCGTGTCCTTATGATGTGGGGCTGGCTTCCCCAGAGTGAGTGATCCAAGAGAGAAAGGCAAGAGCCACACTGTCTTTTATGACCTCAGAAGTCACACACCATCCTTTTCAGAACAGCCCACTGATCACACAGATTAACACCATTCGTTGCGGGAAGGCATTATACAACCTTGTGAATACCAGGAGGGGAGGGTCATTGGCAGCCATTTTGGAGGCTGGCTACCACACACGTAGGCACAGTTAATTCTCCAATAACCTCAAAAGGTAAGATACTCCTAATAGGTTTATCTTGAAGATGACAAAACAGAGACACAGAAATATGAAGTAACTTGCTCAGATTCACAGGATGGTAAGTGGTAAAGCTGGGATTCAAACTCAGGCAGTCAGGCTCCAGAGGTGAGGCCCAACCTCCTGTGCTTTAAATGCCCTCAGCTCGTCCTAGCCACTTTGGCTCAATGGATAGAGCGTTGGCCTTCG